ATGTACACAGTACAGATAAGAACTCTCAACACACAGAATCCAGGAGCGATAAACCCCTCAGGACAAACAATGAGAGTAGTGATACCATGAGGGTAAGGGGAAGGTGGGGGTAGAAGGAGAAGAAAGGGGGACTGATTGCAATGATGGACGTATAACCTCTGCCTGGGGGGTGGGAGGCATGAGCAATAGAAACGTGGGTGAAAGGAGACAGCGGATGATGTAAAATATGAAGGTCAGCAATTTGAAGCCACCAGCCACACAGCGAGAGAAAGATCAGGCTTTAAGATGAGGCTTTATACTGCCTACAGGATTTACAATCTTGGAAACCCCCTGGCAGTTCTATGAGGGGGTAGCCCCCCAATGGAATTCCCCCCCCTCAAAGCTATGTCTGTAAATTTTTTTACAAAACAACTTTATCACCTTCAAAGTACTTTACATTATACTCAACACATTTGTCAAATCTGTGATTCCATTCTTGGGAACATTTTTCAAACTCATCTGCTTGGATGGCTGACGGCACCTCTGTCTTAGTCCAGGTTGATTATAAAAACAAATCCAGAGACACTCCTATGTGTATAAGAAGGAGCTTTATATTAAAGAGCAATTGTATATTGAGAAACCCAGCTCAGTCCAGATCAAGTTCATAAGTCTGATATTAGCCCACATGTCTGATACCAGTCTGTAAATTCCTCTTCAGACTCACACAACACATGCAATGACACTGAGTGCAGGAAAATCACCGGCCAGTGGGTGGAAAGTCTTGTGGCTCCAGTGGCAGTGGAAGCATCTTCGCACTGGCGTGGGTCTCAGTGTGGCTTCTCTAGTTCCAAGGCTCTGGCTTCCATCAGCATAGCTCCATGTGACTTATCAACTGGAATGTGGAGCAGAGAGAATGTCTGGCCTCCAGTGAGCTTTTTATCTGCATAGTGCCACCAAATGAGGTCATCAAACCATGACCTGATTGACAGGCTAAACTCTACCCCTTCACTCTTAATTGTCTGAAGTCTACACCAGATTATGTAACTACTACAACCTCCCTCGTTTTTTTTCTTCACCTCTTTGTTTTCTTCCTCAAATTGTTTCCTTTTGTGTCCCCTTTTTAAAAAAATCATTTTAGGGGCTCATACAACTCTTATCACAATCCATACATACACCAAT